GGGAGGCACTACTGGTCCAGGGTCAACCACAAGACCCCCATTCCCTCAACCTGTGACTACCCTGATTCTATGCTGCAGGTACGGGCTGGAGAATCCCTGATGAAGCTGGTGTCTGATCTCAAGCAATTCCTGATCCTCAACGACTTCCCATCGGTGAATGAGGCCATTGACCAGCGAAACCAGCAGCTGCGCGCTCTGCAGGAAGAGTGTGACCGCAAGCTCATCACCCTGAGGGACGAGGTCTCCATCGACCTATACGAGCTGGAGGAGGAGTATTATTCGTCCAGGTACAAATAGGGCTGGACTCCGTGCAGGAAGGAGCCTGCCTACTTGGGCCTGGCCCGGCCTGGAAAGTCTCTCTGTTTTTTCACAAACGTGCCTGGTCTTGGCTCTGCTGCCCATGTTCCAAAGCAGAGTCCCTGGCCAGCATGATCAATCAACAGACAGTTCACAGCCACTGCCGGGGCCCTGGTCTCTCCCTCAGTGCAGTGGGATGAGAATCACAGGACATCTGGTGTTGGGGAGGTTGAGTCTGGAGAACAGTGTTCTAGGGGCTGGGCCTAGTGGCTCTTGGTTCTTGAATCCATATGTAGATGTGGCAGCCAAGCCTGGACTGGCCCCTCAGCGTCCCACAGGCCCACACCCATGTCCAGGATGCCACTATTTGCCTTAGGATGCAGCTACAGGTGTATGCTGTTGAATCCCGTGGTGTGGAGGTGGGGCAGCCATGGCAGGGAGGAGGAAGGAGCCAGCAGACTTCCTTAGCAGCCAGGGCCTCATGCTTGGGTGCCTGGTATCTGGTCTGCTCAGTCTTATTCATGGAGCTGGAGACTCCTGCATGCCAGCCTCAGCAGTAGCAGGACCCATCAACCTAGCCAGCATGGGGCCACTCAGAATCCTAACACCTGAGTCTGTGAGCCTGAGGGGTCCCACAGAAATCAGAGTCCAGTGTGATGTATATGGGGGGAAGCTCAGGCTAGACACAGGGGCCTTGCAGCTCTGTCCCACTAGCTTGGAAGTCAAGATTCAGTCCAGCAGTTTCAAAAACTATCCACTAAATCTCCTCCCTCCCTGCTCATGAATTTAAAATGTAATGGCATAGTGAGTGGTACACTTCTGTAATCCCCACAACTTGGGAGGCTGAGTCAGGAGAACCGGAAGTTCAAGGCCTGTGTTGGCAATTCAGTGAGACTCTCTCAAAAAGAACTGGGGGGATGGGGTTGTGGCTCAGTGGTAAAGCAGTTGCTTGGCATGTGTGAGGCACTGTGTTTGATTCTCAGCACAACAAATAAATAAATAAATGTCCATCAACAACTAATAAAATATTAAGGAAAAAAAATCCAAAGATTTAAAAAAAAGGACTGGGGCTATAGTTAAGTGGTAGAGCATCCCTGGGTTCCACCCCCCAGTACAATGAAAAAATAAATAAAAAAATAAAATGTTCCTTTCTGACCCACGGAGGCCTTGCTACGGAGTCAAATGGCCCGTGCGGCCAGTCTATGTCTCTCCCACAGGAAACCTGTCTTCTCCAGCCAGCCTGCCCTTCCCATGTCCCTGTGGTGAAGCTCTGGCCTCTGCTTAGGTGTTCACTTCAGCAATCTGGGCTTCGCCATGCCGGGGCCAGGGGGTTTCATCCTCCCCTCTCCTTCCTCTGTGCCTAGTGACCTGCTGGCCACTCTGGCCTCCCTCTGCGTGGGCTGCTCCTGCCTATACTCTGTCTGCTCACTGCTTGCTCTTTCTGGCTCTGCTTCCTTTTCCACTCCTGGGGATGCCACTCAGTGCCCGGGTGGTTCTGAGCCTGAATGCTGAGGGCAGATGCAGAGGCCAGAGCCGCTGCATTTTAGACAGCTGTGGGCACGACCTTGCTCTGAGTGGTTCCTGCCAGGACTGATGAGCCACTCCTTGCCTCAAGTATTCCCTGCGAGGTGGGAAACCACAGAGAGCCCAGCAAGTCCTAAGGCCGGAGCAGCAGTGTGGGGATGTGCAGGGCCTGTTTTCCCGATAATCATCCCGTTTAGGTCAAGTCGTAGGCAGGGTCTCTGCTGTCAAGGCTCTTTACAGTCTGATGACCTCCCTAGCCAGGGAGGGGATGGGCAGCCAGGCTGGGAGGGGACCTTCAGAGAGGCCCATGTGGAATTGCTCAGCAAGTTGAAAGTTGGAGGTCCTGCTGAGCCTCTCCGGATGCAAGGGTGGTCCCTGTGGCCCCTCTCTCAGCCAGGCCTGCTGCAGAGGGGCAACCACAGATAGAAGGGAAGGCAAGTTGGGGTGGTGTTCATGTTTTCTTAACTCTGCTTCTATCTTGCTTTCCCCTCCCCTGGCTTTCCTCTTGCCTGCTCCTGTCCCTCCCTGGGGTTTCTGGTGGTGGAAAAGCTCAAGTCTTTGCGAAGCTAATGACCTGCCTCTGTGCGAAGCTTACTGGAGGCTGGACCTCGACACAGACTCCGCTGATGGTCTCTCTGCCCCTCTGCTGGCGTCCCCGGAGCCCGGTGTTGGCCCTCTGCAGGCTGCAGCCCCTGCCCACTCACACACTGGTGGCTCTGGCCCCACAGAGCATGCCTGAACTTCTCAGGGCCACTCTCCCCAGATCCCTAGTTCATCAGGAACAAATCCAGGGTTCTGCCCTGGATGTTCACCACAGCCTTGTTTCTCTCAGCCTCCACTTCCAGTTGAGTACTCTAGGACCCCCTGTGGCCTCCTTTAACTGGCCAGGCCAGGGTCACCCCCAGGACAGTTGGGGAAAGTTGTTCAGGGTGGCCCACCATGTCTAGCTGCTACCTTCCTGACTGACCAGGTCAGAGAAAGTTGGTCTTGTTGAGGACCTGGACTGTGGGGCAGTGATGATGCAGGATACCAGGAAGACAACCTGTGAATGTATTTAAAATTGGGAGGGGAGCTAGGTATGGTATGCACATCTGTAACCCCAGCAACTCAGGAGCCTTGAAGCAGCAGGATTGCGAGTTCAAGGCCAGCCTGGCAAAAAAATGGGGATGTAGCTTAGCTCAGTGGTAAAGCACCCCTGGGTTCAATCCTCAGTAATCCCCCAACACACACAGAAAAAAAAGGGAGGGGGATGCTTAGTGGAGAGCAGTAGCCAAGCCCTTAAGCCTTGGCTCCTGTGCAGAGACCTGCTTACTGCATCTTTCCCCGAGCACAGATGTACCTGCTGTATGTAGACTGCCTGCCTCCGGAAGGCTGTGTGAGCAGATGGCCCACTCACAAGGCACCTGCCAGGGCTTCTTCCTGAATTCTGTTATGTCTGTTTTGCTACTTTTGTAATGAAACTTAAAATAAAAATACCACCTTGTGTGTTGGTTCCTCTCTTTCTCACTTCTGGTCAGTCTAATACTGCCCTTGGACTCCTAGCAGCTTCTGCATAACTCCTTGCTCTGCCTGGATGGCTTTGGGCTCCAGCCTCCTGGGTGCTCCCAGTTAGGTCTTGGATGTTTGGTGAATGAATGGAAAACTTGCTGTTGCACATCACATGGTTCGGGAATCAGTACTTGGATGTCATGTACTTCTTAATGCCACTGAGTCTGTGCTGCTACACCTGCATTTCAGAGAGAAAGAGGACACAAGCTTGCAAGAGGTGAGCTGTGCCTATGGCCACAGAGTTGGGAAGTGAAGTGACAAACAGGATTTGAACTCTTAGGAGCCAGACCTGTTAGGTGCAGGGCAGGCTGAATGTCAGCTGCAGGATAACCTGGGGAATTCTAACTCCGCTCTGTCTGGTCCTTTATCACCTGTTTGTGTCAAGGCTCAAAAGTCGACCCCCCACCCATCTGATGCGACAGAAACCCACATTTGACCCCTGTCGCATCTGCCTGAAGGCAGATGACACCTGTAGCAACTACTGTGATCCAATTTTGTAAGCCAACAAGGCAGCTTGCACACCAAGAGACCCCATTAGATTTGGACTACAAAAACTCCTGCTGGGCCCCCTCTCTTGCTCTTTTTTCTCTCTTTGCTCCCCCACTTCTTGTCTTTCCCCGCTCTTTCTCTCTTTTCTCTTTCTCACTGCTGCAATAAAGATCTCTTGGTCTCTCCCAGTGTTGTGGTCACTTTCAAGACCTAGTACCTTTTTGGTACCAGGCCTACCTTTGACATGCAGAGACTACAGTGCTAAGGTGGCTGCAGTGGTGGTAGACCAAAGACTAGGGCTGCGTCCAGTGGCTATCCACCTGCTTCACCTTCCCATGAGGAAGATCACTGTTCCTGATATTGGCAGCCCAGGATCCAGCTTTGAGGAACTGCAGCCTGTCACCAGGGAGCCCCAGACCTCAGGAGCTGGCAAGTGGGAAAGGGGGGGGGGGTCAGAAACTTGCTCCGAGGGAGTTTTTATTGATAAGATGTGGGGTGGTCTCCAGCATTTTAACTGTCGGAAGTTTCTACTACGGAGCCGCTAAGGAGAAAAGGAGTCCCCTACACCTGGAAGCTGAGAGTTGGGGGAAGGGGACTGGAAAGAACTGGCCCCGATGAGGGTCTTGAATAACCTAGAAACATCTTTCCAATCATGAATTTAATGTGCTGCTTCAACACCGTTTCCCGTTCAAAAGTGGAGGGGTTTCTTCTGCCTCCACATCCCGCAGTCTCTCGAGCCTGTGTGGGAGGGGTTGTCGCCTAACACGCCTAACGCGTGTTAGGGTAGTCGGTGGCCGCCACGTGACCAGCCCCGCTCAACGCCGGGCTCCACCGCGCGGCAGGGGCTGGGCGGAGTGAGGAGCGCCCGTCGGAACTGAGGCGAGCGGTGGCCCCGCGACCCCAGGCTCCGTTTTGCATTAGCGGGAGGTTCCTTGGTCCTCAGAGCGGACAGGCCAGCGCCCCGACGCACGGGCGCGGACGTGCGCGGACGTCCGCGAGCAGGAGCCGGGGCACTCGTACGGGACGCGGGGGCGCTCAGCACTGAGCCGGGGGCACCGCGCAGGCCACACCCCTTCCGGCGCGGCCAGGCCCGACCAGGCGAGCGCGGGCGCGGAGGCAGGCACCGCCAGACGAGCGCCGAGCCGCCTTGCCGGGCCCACGAGTGCACCGCCATGGCCTCCCTGCAAGCCAAGGACGCCTACTTGCAGGACCTGGCCAGGAAGATCTGCGCCCCGCACGGCCCCGAGCCACCGCGGCGCGCGCGGGGTAGGCGGGCCGGGCTGGGCCGGGATCGGGTCGGGTCCGAAGTCGAGGTCTGGCTGGGATCGAGGTGGCCCGGGGCCTGGCGGGGTGCGGTCGGGGTCTCACAGCTCCGCGGAGGCTCGGAGGAGGGCAGGAGAGCTCGCGTCCCGCCCCGCTCCTGGGGTGCTCGTGGGTGCGAAAGCTGCCCTAGGAGCAGGGGCCAAGGCAGGAGGCAGAAGTCCTTGGCCGGAGAACGCGTCGGTCTTGATTTCCTTGGCCTGTCTTCAGCGAGAGGAAGATCAAGAGCTCTGTTTTAAGGGTCTAGATTAGGGGCCGGATCCAGTCCAGGAGAGGGTCCGCTGGAGTCAGGACCAGGGGCTTCGCAGGGAGCCCCACTCCAGGCAGGGGCTGGGGCAGCCATCTGACCCCAGTTAGCCCTCAAGTGGACCAGAGAGTCTGTGAAATGCCGAACAAAGTGTAATCTACCTTACTCTTAGGCATTATCCTGACGCGTGGCCCCGGGGTGAAGGGAGCACCCCTGCTTTCAGCAAGCTCCCTCCTGCCAAGGAGGACCGCTCCTCCCCTGGAACTGCTGGGGCTGGCCTGGTGCATCTCCAGCTCTCCACCTGGAGTAGACTATAGGGAGCAGTGAGCAGTCAGGCAGAGATGGTAGTCAGAGGTGGAGGGAGGGAGGAAGAGGGCTCCTGACATGCGGCAGGAGAATCGCAAGCTCAAAGCCAGCCTCAGCAATGGCCAGGTGCTAAGCAACTCAGTGAGACCCTCTCTCTAAATAAAATACAAAATAGGGCTGGGGATGTGGCTCAGTGGTTGAGTACCCCTGAGTTCAATCCACAGTACTTAAAAAAAAAAAAAAAAAAAAGTAGGAATGGACAGGGGCTTGATTCCCACTCAAGTCAGCACACAGGATTTTGTTGGGCAGAGGTGCCATAACTTGCTGCTGGACATGGATGTGTGAGTCTCCCTAGCTCAGGTGCTGAGCTGGTGCACATCCTGGGCTTTGTGCAGGAGAACCCTTTGTGCTGGGTCCTGCACGTGGTTGTGTGCTAGGTTTCGGTGTGTGGCTGCTGTTTTTGGAGCTTTTGTTTCTGAGCACTGTGGCCTAGTGTTGCTGGCCCCTCTGTCCTGATTTCCTTCATGGGATCAAAGTCCTTGTGGGATCAAAGCCTTTGTGAGACCTTCTTGTTGCTGTGTGGGGCATAGAGATTGGAATAGCAGCTTTTTGACACTTTATATCTCAGTTAGTAAAATTCAAGGCTCAGAAGCTTCTGGACTCCGAAAAAAGAAAAGAAAGAAAACACCAAAAAAATTCCGGGAACAGGAACAGAAGGCTTCAGAGCATAAAGTCAAGACCCTTGGGGAGAAGAAGTCTCCAGTGGCTCCTGGGACCAAGAAGCCAACAGCACACAAAGAGGAGCCTTCCATCTCCACAGGGGCCCCTGCAGGTAAGGGGCTCCAGGGCAATGGGGTGGGGCTTAGATGCAAATGTGGCCTCCTCTGCTCTTAAGTCACCATGGAGGGCACTGGGTATTCAGAGCTTCCCAGAGAGTGAAAATCACAGGAATGCAATGGGTAGTAGACTATGGGAAGAGCATGGTGATCTGGGCTATGTGGACCAAGACCATGGAGGACATGGCTATGAGTTTCTCAGCATCTGGAGCAGTGAGACTGGTAGGAAGAATTTTTTTTGTACCACAGTGACCAGATATAACCATCCAATCCAGGAGGCTGTAGGGGCCAATCCACATTGAAGAGGTGGATGGAGTGGAATTTAATGGATTGGCCTGCAGATCCGCAGGTGGCCACTGGGGACAGGAGGGCAGTGAGTACAGGCTGAGGCTTAGGTATTGGGCCCTGGGGAAGGACATCAAGAGGGGCCTCCTTTTAGCCCTGTCTCCCTCCCTGCAGGTGGCCAGGCTACAGCACCTGATTCTGTCTTTGCCCTGGATGTCCTGCGCCAGCGGCTGCATGAGAAGATCCAGCAGGCTCGAGGCCAGGTAGGTGGGCCACCTCTGGAGCACTCATCAGTATGTCTTTGGAGTGGCCTCCCCACCCAGCTCCATGCTCGAGGTGGGAGGTGGCTCTTAGCAGGGAGCAGGGTCTGCCCTGGGGGAGCAGGTGCCTTTCCCTGCTTCCTGGAGAACCTCAGTCCCGGGGTCCCTGGCCTTTTGCTTGCTCCTCTCTCCCATGGGTCTCAGAAGCCCAGCCTTCTCCTCTGGGAAGCCACCTTTGTTGGCGCCACAACGGCTAGCATGGCCCATCTGTTCTTCTAAAGGTCACCATGAGATGAGGTGACTGCCTGGCACACAGACTGGCCAGCCTCCATTTTTGTGCTCAGTAGTGCTGTTTACTCTCTGACCTGGGCACCCACCTTTCCCTGGGACCCCTCCCGCCCGCCTCTGCTCTGCAGACGGCTTCAGCTTCTCAGCCTCCTGGGTCATGACCACTGGCCCTTCCCTGGTTCCTAAGAGGCCGTCAAGGTCCTGGGCCCTCATTCCTGCAGCACAGGGCTGGGTAGGTCTGCTGCAGGGCACTCTTGGCTGTGGAACTGAAAGGCCTTTGGGGGATGGGGCTGTAGTGCAGAGCCCTAGTGCACAGGACGGGCCTGCTCATGAGAACCAGGCCCGGCTCAGAACTGGAGTGAGGCGTGGCAGTGGGTGAAACTGCAGTTGGCCTGAAGCTGGAAGCCACCCTCTTGTCCCTCACCCTGGAGCCACTGGCGCCTTGGGCAGCAGTCCTGTTGAGGAGCTCCTCTTGCACCTTCCAGCCCTAATTCCATCTCCGCCCTGTCAGGGCGGGGCCCTGAGACTGGGAGGACTTTGAGCAGACCCTGCTTCCCCCAGGATGGCACGCTCTCTGCTGCCAGTCTGGAGAAAAGGCAGCGGAGAAAGCAGGAGCGAGAGCGGAAGAAGAGGAAGCGGAGGGAGCTGCTAGCGAAGGAGAAGGAGAAGGCGGCGGCGGCACAGGCCGGAGGCACTGCAGCGGTGACGGCTCCCCCTGCGGCGGTCTGCGCAGGGCCGCACGAGCCAGCGCTGATCTTCAATAAGGTGAACGAGCAGGCTCCGGGCCCAGGCCTGTCCCCTGACTGGCTCTGTGGCCTCAACTCCCTCTTGGGTGGCAGCAGCCGCGTGGTCTGGGTGCCGATTCTGCGTGGTCACCGACGTGCTGCTCGTCCCTAGGTGGAGGTCAGTGAGGAGGAGTCGGCCACCAAGGCCCAGCGGCGGAAGGAGAAGCGGCAGAAGGTGAAGGGGAACCTGACCCCTCTGACGGGCAAGAACTACCGGCAGCTGCTGGAGCGCCTGCAGGCGCGGCAAGGCCGGCTGGAGGAGCTGCGGGAGCAGGACTCGGGGAAGGCCCAGGAGCTGGAGGCCAAGATGAAGTGGACCAACCTACTGTACAAGGCCGAGGGGGTCAAGATCCGCGACAACGAGCGGCTGCTGCAGGAGGCCCTGAAGCGCAAGGAGAAGCGCCGGGCTCAGCGGCAGCGCCAGTGGGAGAAGCGCTCGGCCCACGTCGTGGAGAAAATGCAGCAGCGGCAGGACCGGCGGCGGCAGAACCTGCGCAGGAAGAAGGCGGCCAAGGCTGAGCGGCGCCTGCAGAAGGCCCGCAGGAAGGGCCGCGTGCTGCCCCAGGACCTGGAGCGGGCGGGCCTCGCCTGAGCACCCCGACCCTCCCACCGCGAACCCTCCCCACCCTGGCTGCTATCTCTGAGGCTTCAGAGCTCCCAGGTGATACATGACACTGGGCCCGAGGGCAGCAGATGCCATCCTCCTCTCCCAGAGCTGCCTGAGGCTCGGATCACATGCTGAGGAGAGTGGGGTGTCTCTGTTGTCGGTGAGCAGGGCCAAGGCCTGCAGACCCACGGGAGTGGAGAACTAGACCCAATCCCAGAGTCCTTGTAGGGTGGGAGAGCTTCCCTGAAGTCTGCAGGTTGCTGGGGAGCCCTCCTCTAGGCCCTCCTGCCTTTCCTGGGTTCCCAGGGGTCCTGGGCAGGAAGAAAAGGGCCTTGGTCAACTGTCCCATTAGTCCAGGGCTCAACAGGAAGGGATGCGAGCCCAGGGGACTGACTGGCTCCCATAGCTAGGAGAACCAGGGCCAGCCAAGTACGGCCCTTCTGGGGATGCCTTGCTCTTCCCTGTGGTAGTCTCATCCTCTCCTGTTCCTCAGTAGTCCTAGGACAATGTTTTCCCAGCTCAAAATCCAAAGAGGGGAAGGGAGCTGCTCCTTCCCAGGCCCATGGGGTGTGACTCAGGCTGCGCAGTCACCTCTGGGCATTTGCTGGCTTGAGGGCTGTGTAGTGGTCAGCGTGCCTCGGCACCCTCCTGGAGTCAGGGCAGAGGACTCCCTATGGGTACAGGGCTGAGGGAAGCCTGCTTTCACCAGATGAGTGGGTAGGGGATGGGGACAGGGACCTCAAGTGAGAGCCTGGACGCAGACGGGGGAGTGCGGTTGGGCATTTCCCTAGTGTCTTGGGGGAGCATCCCCCACTGCCTGAACAGCTCTTTAGAAATGAGCTGCTTGTGTTGATTTGGTGGCCCACACTGGTGATCCCAGCACTCAGGAAACTGAGGCAGGAGCTGGAGGATCAAAACTTAGAGATCAGCCTAGGCAATTAGCAAGACCCTGCTTCAGAATAAATGAAACAAATGAGAAGCTGGGGCTGCAGCTCAGTGGCAGAGCAGCTAGTTCAATCCATAGTACCAGACCCTGGGGAGGGGATGAGCGCCCCCCCCACACACACACCAAAGGCTACTATTTAATAAAACAGGCAGAGTACACCTATGCACACAGTGGAAAGGTCCAGGAGTGAACAGGCCTTGGATGGGGTAGGTTTCTGTACTCTTAAGGCCTTTGCTGTGGCCCAGTTGAAATGTCCCATACGGTTATTTTCTTGTAAAGGAGTGGGCTGGGGGAGTTCAGCTGGTTGGCAGCCCCCATCGCCCTTGGTATCTGCGTGGTCACTGCACTCAGGCCCTGCTCTTCTGGGTGGCCTCCACCAAAGTTAAGCCCAGTGAGGGGCACTGGGGCCTGAGGTTCTGCTCCTAGCAGGGCTCCTGTTCAAGTGGCTGCCCACGACTCCTGCTGGCTGGCTGAGGCCCCAGCAGCTGTGTGCTGATCTGATAACTCTGCCCCATCCTGCTTCCTGCATTTGGTCACCACAGGCTATATCCAATAAACCTCTTGCATTCCTAATTTGGTCTCTGTCTGTTTTCTGGAGGGACACACAGCTCCCAGTACCAAGTAAGTTTTTTGTTTGTTTTTTGGTGCTAGGGATTGAACCCAGGTCACTTAACCACTGAGCCTCATCCCCAGCTCTATTTTGTATTTTATTTAGAGACAGGGTCTCACTCAGTTGTTTAACCATTGCTGAGGCTGGCTTTGAACTCGCAATCCTCCTGTCTCGGCCTCCTGAGCCACTGGGATTACAGGCGAGCGCCACTATGCCCAGCTAAAACAGATCTTAAAAAGCATTCTTCTTACCTTGTTCCTGACACTCAACACTCAAAAATCTACAAAATTAGTAAAACAGTAAAGGATAAGAGAGGACACCGTGTTGCCAAGTCCTAGGACCTAGTCTAAACTTCTGCCTTTGCCAAGCCCTCCCCAACAGAGCTGGGTGGTCCTGGTCCACTGAGAAGGCGGTGGCTTCCGGTCACCACCCCTGCTTTGACAACCTTGACGAAGTTAACCAGGGCAGTGACAGTGCCTCCCTGCAGCTGCCCATTTCTTCCTGGTTTTCTTGGATGGGAGGGACTTGCCTTTGGTGAACTTCAGAACCTGACCAGCTCGCTCCCCCTCTCCAGGGGACCCATGCTTGGCACCCAGTCTCCTCCTCTCTGTGCCTTCAGAATGGGGAAGGTCCTTTGCTCTCTTTTCTTCCCTTTTATAAATGTGTTGGGAGTCTGGAGCTTAATCTTTGCTCAAGGAATTTGCCTCCTTGGCCGCCTCATCTGCTTCTGTTTCTTTGCTGACCCCGGTTTGGAAACCGCCGCTCCTGCCTGGATCTGCCCTCCGTCCTCGTCCTCGCTGTCCCTGCCTGCATTACCATTCTGGGCAGCCAGTGCGGGGTGCCCGGCCTGGTCTTCTTGTTCTTGTCCGCCTCACTGGAGCTGCTATCAGCCTTTCTGGCCAGGCTTCTGGCTGCTGCCTGCAGGCTGCTCAGGGCTTGGATGGCTCAGAGGTGGAATTCTTGGTGGTGCTGCCTGGGCTGGAGCTTCATCCTCAGGGCTGTCGGGGCGGAGCTCCCTGAAGTGCTTCTGCCACCTTTGCTTTGTCCGGTCTTGTGCTTGCTCTGGGGATGGCTGCCTTAGCCGGGTGTCTTCTCTTCCTCAGAGCTTGACTCAGACCCATCGCTACTGTCCACACTGCTTTCCACAGACTCTGCCTCCATCTCCGCTTTCTGGGGGGCTGGGTTCCCAGGGACGTCTTCAGTGGCAGTGCAGGAGGTGGGGGACTGAACTGCAGGGACCTGGTGCATTCTTTGTGGGTTTTTCTCTCCTCCTCACTGGGGCAGTCTGCACTGCTGGAGCTCTTCGGTGCAGGACAGCAGCAGCTTTCCCTGGGACTTGGCCCATGACTTGCTTCCAGGTCCAGTCTTCTTGACCAGCCTGGTTTGGCTGGGGCCTTTGCCTGAGCTTTCACTGCCACAGGATGCTGCCTGGCTTCTTGTTCTTTGGCACCTCATCCTCTGAGCTTGAGCTAGAATCAGGCATGTTGCTCTTGGCTTGGGGCTTTCTGGGGAGCCTTTTTGTCCTCCTTCTCCTCCTCCTTGCTGGATTCTCCACTGCTGCTGGTCTCTGAAGCTTTGGCTGCACGGGATGCCCACTAATTTGGCCTCTGTCTGTTTTCTGGAGGGAACACAGCTCCCACTAGGAGGCTGTGACCGGGATTGAGAGTCTACTGTAGCTGGCAGGGGTGGTGCACCTTCAGGGAGAGGGTGGGACTGGACATTAGGAACGCCAGGCAGTCAGTGTAAGCTCAGAGCTAGTGTGCTGCACTAGGAGGAGCAGAGGTGAAGGCAGGCGTGGCCAGGCGGGCAAACCGAGGAGCAGAAAAACCGATGGCAGGACGGACTCACAGACCTCTCACGGGTGCACTCCCTTGTTTGGGTGGGGGGGACCAACCATCTCCAGTGCTCACTTTGCTCAGCACACACAGAGCCTGTGCCTGCACGCCCATTACCCTTTACTCTTAATACAATGAGTATGGAGCTCCTCTTGGTGGTCATTATTAGAGAGTCCAGCTGTTGCTCTTTAGTGTCTTGTACATAGGAGCTTTTTTGTTTGTGGTGCTGAGCCAAATCTCCAGCTCTCAGGACACAGGCTTTTTATACAGGTTGAACTCCTTCCCAGGCTTTGTCTTTTTAAAAAAACAGCCATGCACATTTTTTCATCTTTGTTGGGTCCTATTTATTTGTATTCACTTAGGGTTATATTTGTTTAAGAATATAATATATATTTGTCTATACTTAGAGTTATATTTGTTTAAGCTACCAAGGCAAAAGAATGTTTACAAGGTATTTTTAAATAAAGAGCTGTTTTCACTTGTTGCAATTTTTTTAAAAAAGAATCTTTTGTCAAACTCAAACATTTCCCCTCAAGTTTTAAAAAGTAATATTGCTCTATATTTTACTCTAATTTATTTACATTTTGCTTAAATTTTATTTTGAAAAGGTAGTGCATCAACAGTTTCAGACTTAAAAAGGGCACTTAAAGGTACATGCTGGACCCTTGCTGTCGGGTTCTGGGCGCCAGATGGCATCAGAATCTAGGCTCTCGGTGAGGGCGGGTCTGCACCCTGTGGGGCGGGGCGTCAAATGGGCGGGGGGGGGGGGGGGGGTCGGCTGGAAGCCTGCGGGACCTCAGGGCCGCGAGACCGGGAAGGAGCAGGACTCTTGGAGAGGCAGATGGTCTTAGTTGCTGCCGGACCGGCGCTGGCGGCCCCTGTCCTGGCCACAGTCCTGGGTATGATAGTCCTCCCCGCGGGCAGCCGCGGATGCTCCCTAGCGCCCCTGTCCTCTTGCGACGCGGCTGCCCTGTGCTTCACCCGGTTCCGAGGCTCCTGGCAGAAGGTGGCTACAGGTGCGGACGCGGAGCCATGACCGCGCTGCCGCGATCCAAGGCGGTTTAGCGCCCCCCCCCCCCGGTCTGTTGGTCAGGTTGGGAACTCTCCACGCCTCTCTTGGTCCCTCTATGCTCACCTGCCTTTCCCCAACTGGAGTTCCTAGTGTGACTCCCAGAGCCCTCTGCAGAGTCTCCGAAACGTCCAGCAGTGCGTGTGGCCCCCAGGCGCCCGTGGAGGAGGACTGCGGCTCAGCAGGACCAGGTGCTTGCAGTCGGCGGGGAAGTGGGAATTGTGCCGACAGCAGAGCGCGAGGGGACATGGGAACCCTGGCGGCCGGGTGCAGGTCTGTGAACTGCGGTGGGAAGGACATAGAACCAGGGCCGAGGTGCCCAGAGCCAGCACTATGCCTGATTTAGGGCACTGTTTAGGCACTGCTATGGGGGCGGGAGGTGGTGGTGTCGGACTGGGATTGTAGGGGGACAAGAGGTGTCTCCAGGGACGGGTACCAGGATTTTCCAGAGAGAAAGGACAACTGGATTCAGGACCAGCAGGATCCTTGGAATATGGCAGATAACTCCAGCACATGCCGGGCAAAGTCACAGACAGGTTTATTTAGGAAAACAGATCCACATTCAAGGGATGGGGGGAGCACTCTCTAAATGGAGATGTCTTTGGGAAAAGCCAGGAATACTACTCAAAGGCCAACCCAGGCCTTCAGAGGGAGAGGCAGCAACTGGTGGGTGTGGGGAGTTAATGTTTCTAGAGGGGGCTGCAGGGGCTGGACAGGAGATGGGGACAGGGTGGAATGTACAATCTGAAGAGTTTTTCCTTTGTTTGCACTTTCCCTCATTTTAAATGGGTCTGGCCAAGGGCCAGCCACTCAAGATCTCCAGCTGTGCTTTGGGCATCTCAGGCTTGTGGGACTTTAAGATTCTCTCTCTCTATCCTAAAACCCCATCACAGAACTAGGAGAAGGATGAAATAGAGGGGAGGCCCTACTTAGCTGATGGAGGAGGACACTGTGGGCTGATGGCCCTGGGCTCACAGCTTGTGAGTATTTACTCTGAGCCAGGCCGGGTTCAGGAATTGGGAGGGTGGGGCTCGGGAGGCCAGTTTGCCCACTGGAGACAGGTTTGGAGAGCCGTAGAGCACCGCCCTGCCTACACAAGAGGGAAGCACTTGAGGAGTTGGGAGTTTATCCCGGGCTGTGGCCTGCCGCTCCTATTATGGCTAAGTTTTCCGGGTCCATCATGAAGCGGGAGAAAAGAGATAAGCATAGTTACAAAGGACTCTAGCAGGAAGGGGAAAGGAGACCAACTCTAAATCACCTTCACTCTCCAAGCTGTCTCCTCCAGATGAGAACCCTTAAACCTCCTTGGTCCTCCTGGGTGTGGTGAGTGGCTGAGATGCCTGCGTACCGTAACGCAACATTTTTTTTTTTTTTTTTGGTGGTGGTGCTGGAGATGGAACCCAGGGCCTTGTGCATACAAGTCAAGCACTCCCAACTGAGCTGCATCCCAGCCCCAGCATGCGCTTTGGATGGACTAAAGCCAGGGGAAAGGTGCTGTTGGAGACTTACATGGTGTATCCCAGGTGTCGATGTCAGCCTGGATGTCCCCGAAAGAAGCAGGCACGTGACCTGCCCTGTGTTCCGTGGTTAAGAGGATTGAGGTCACCGGCTGAGGTCACCCCACCCACTTCTCATGTTCACTGTTCACCGAATTTCCTTTAAAAAGAAGAGCCCAAGACCCCCAAAGAGCAGCTACGGCTGAGTGGCCCCACCCTCCTTCTGCATGTGTGTCCCGTTCCATTGCTTGCTTTACTGAATAAAGCTTGCTCTCCTAAATAAATGCCTGCCTCAGCCAGGGTCTCAGTCCCTTTTCCCTTCTGGGGACCTCCTCAGACCACGATGGGTGACATTCCCCGTTCTACTTTGTGTTTTCCCTTCCTTCCTTACTTCCTGCCTCCCACCCTCCCTCCTTTGTCCCTTTCCTCCCAGTGTGAAACACACAGGCTGACAAGTCTTCACACACCTAGACACCCAGTCAGGGGACAGCACACCCAGTGCCCGCGAGGCCCTCTGGCCCAGGACTCACCATCTCACCAGTCTGGGGCCCTTGGAGGACCAGTGTCTGCGTGGGTGTCCTTAGCCCTGAGGTCTGGTGTGGGGCCTGGCCCATGCCTGGATCTGCGCAGAGCATCCTGAAGAGTAAGAAGTGCAGGTCTTTTGAGAAACCCAGCCCGCTAGTGCCCTTCTCAGGTTATCCCCATTTCCAAACATTTATTCATTCATCCAACAAATATCACTGAACACCTGAAGAAGCCCTGGTGCTAGGAAGGGCACCTGCCACAGTGAGCCAGGTGAGGAGGTGGTCTTAGAGACATGAATGGTGAAAGGCCTGGTACCTGCTGTACCAGGAGAGCAGCCAGCAGGGGGAGCCCTGCCCCAAAAATCAGCCACGTAGGCGGGGGAGGGCCGCCTGCTGAGGAAGAGCCAGCAACTCAGTGAGGCCTTGTGCATACAAGTCAAGCACTCTACCAACTGAGCTACACTCCGCAGGAAGAGGAGCCAGCCTTGGAGAGGCAGGAGCAAGCTGGGGGTGGCTCCTGGCTGCTCTGTGGAGGGGCTTCCCAGAGAGCACTGGCTCCCTGGAGCACTGGTCAACCCGCAGTTGTGGAAAATGGGAGCAGGCCAGGTATAGCTGTCCCCATGAGTTTCACCCTTGTCGGGCAAGAAGAGGTCAAAAGTCTTCCTTGGAATTGCATGTGTTACTTCAGACCTGCTCTGTATGCACCCACCTTCTCTCTTCCTTACGCTTAGGACCAGCGATCTATGCTGGGTGGCATTAAAAAAAAAAAAAACAGATTTATTGAGGTGTCCTTACATATCATAACTTTCACCTCTTTTAAGTGTACTCTTTAATTATTTTCGGTCATGTTACAGAATAGTGAAATCAATTCAAGTTCCTTTGTGTCTTTTAACATTCACTCCACAGGCCCCTCCCAGCCTTGGGCCCTCACCTTCTGTCTCTAAAGCTTTGCTTCTTCAAGACATTTTTATATAAATGTGACTTTTTGCACTTATTTCCTTCACTTAGGATGTTTTAGGGGTGTAGTATTGCAAAATTTGGTGCATATGTATTTACAATTGCTATGACATCTTTTTTTTTTTGGAGGGGGGAGGTACTGAGGATTAAACTCAGAGGCACTTGACCACTGAGCCACATCCCCAGCCCTATTTTGTATTTTATTTAGAGACAGGGTCTCACTGAGTTGCTTAGGGCCTTGCTTTTGCTGAGGCTGGTTTTGAACTTGTGATCCTCCTGCCTCAGATTCCTGAGCTGCTGGGATTACAGGCGTGTGCCACCGCACCTGGCTGCCATAACTTCTTTTTTTTTAATAATTTTTTTATTGGTCGTTCAAAACATTACAAAGCTCTTGACATATCATATTTCATACATTTGATTCAAGTGGGTTATGAACTCCCATTTTTACCCCGTATACAGATTGCAGAATCACATCGGTTACACATCCACGTTTTTACATATTACCATACTAGTGTCTGTTGTATTCTGTTGCCTTTCCTATCCTCTACTATCCCCCCTCCCCTCACCTCCCATCTTCTCTCTCTACCCCATCTACTGTAATTCATTTCTCCCCCTTGTTTTTTTCCCTTTCCCCTCACATCCTCTTGTATGTAATTTTGCATAACAATGAGGGTCTCCTTCCATTTCCATGCAATTTCCCTTCTCTCTCCCTTTCCCTCCCACCTCTCGTCCCTGTTTAATGTTCATCTTTTTCTCATGCTCTTCCTCCCTGCTCTGTTCTTAGTTGCTCTCCTTATATCAAAGAAGACATTTGGCATTTGTTTTTTAGGGATTGGCTAGCTTCACTTAGCATAATCTGCTCTAATGCCATCCATTTCCCTGCAAATGCCATGTTTTTGTCATTTTTTAGTGCCAAGTAATACTCCATTGTGTATAAATGCCACATTTTTTTTTTATCCATTCATCTATTGAAGGGCATTTAGATTGGTTCCACAGTCTAGCTATTGTGAATTGTGTTGCTATGAACATCGATGTAGCAGTATCCCTGTAGTACGCTCTTTTAAGGTCTTCAGGGAATAGTCCGAGAAGGGCAAAAGCTGGGTCAAATGGTGGTTCCATTCCCAGCTTTCCCAGGAATCTCCATACTGCTTTCCAAATTGGCCGCACCAATTTGCAGTCCCACCAGCAATGTACAAGTGTACCCTTTTCCCCACATCCTCGCCAGCACTTGTTGTTCTTTGACTTCATAATGGCTGCCAATCTTACTGGAGTGAGATGGTATCTTACGGTGGTTTTGATTTGCATTTCTCTGACTGCTAGAGATGGTGAGCATTTTTTCATGTACTTGTTGATTGATTGTATGTCCTCTGAGAAGTGTCTGTTCAGGTCCTTGGTCCATTTGTTGATTGGGTTATTTGTTTTCTTATTGTTTAATTTTTTGAGTTCTTTGTATACTCTGGATATTAGGGCTCTATCTGAAGTGTGAAGAGTAAAGATTTGTTCCCAGGATGTAGGATGCCTATTTATCTCTCTTATTGTTTCTCTTGCTGAGAAAAAACTTTTTAGTTTGAGTAAGTCCCATTTGTTGATTCTTGTTTTTAACTCTTGTGCTATGGGTGAACTTTAAAGAAGAACTAATACCAATACTCTACAATCTATTTCAGGAGATAGAAAAAGAGGGAGAACTTCCAAATTCATTCTATGAGGCCAATATCACCCTGATTCCCAAACCAGATAAAGACACCTCAAAGAAAGAAAACTACAGACCAATATCCCTAATGAATTTAGATGCAAAAATCCTCAATAAAATTCTGGCAAATTGGATACAAAAACATATCAAAAAGATCGTGCACCATGATCAAGTAGGATTCATCCCTGGGATGCAAGGCTGGTTCAATATACAGAAATCAATAAATGTTATTCACTACATCAATAGACTTAAAGATAGGAACCATATGATCATCTCGATAGACGCCGAAAAAGCATTCGACAAAGTCCAGCATCCCTTTATGTTCAAAACACTAGAAAAACTAGGGATAACAGGAACTTACCTCAATATTGTAAAAGCTATCTATGCTAAGCCTCAGGCTAGCATCATTCTAAATGGAGAAAAACTGAAGGCATTCCCTCTAAAATCTGGAACAAGACAGGGATGCCCTCTCTCACCACTTCTATTCAACATAGTTCTTGAAACACTAGCCAGAGCAATTAGACAGACGAAAGAAATTAAAGGCATAAATATAGGAAAAGAAGAATTTAAATTAGCACTGTTTGCTGATGACATGATCCTATACCTAGCAGACCCAAAAATTTCAACCAAGAAACTTCTAGAACTAGTAAATGAATTCAGCAAGATGGCAGGATATAAAATAAATATCCATAAATCAAAGGCATTCCTGAATATCAGTGACAAATTCTCTGACATGGAAATGAGGACAACTACCCCATTCACAATATCCTAAAAAAAAATAAAATAAAATAAAATACTTGGGAATCAACCTAACTAAAGAGGTGAAAGATTTATACAATGAAAACTACAGAACCCTAAAGAGAGAAATAGAAGAAGATCTTAGAAGATGGAAAAATATACCCTGTTCATGGATAGGCAGAACTAACATCATCAAAATGGCGATATTACCAAAAGTTCTCTACAGGTTCAATGCAATGCTAATCAAAATCCCAATGGCATTTCTTGTAGAAATAGATAAAGCAATCATGAAATTCATATGGAAAAATAAAAGACCCAGAATAGCAAAAGCAATTCTAAGCAGGACGTGTGAATCAGGAGGTATAGTGATACCAGATTTCAAACTATACTACAGAGCAATAGTAACAAAAACAGCATGGTACTGGTACCAAAACAGGCGGGTGGACCAATGGTACAGAATAGAGGACACAGAGACCAATCCACAAAATCACAACTATCTTATATTCGATAAAGGGGCTAAAAGCATGCAATGGAGGAAGGATAGCATCTTCAACAAATGGTGCTGGGAAAACTGGAAATCCATATGCAACAAAATGAAACTGAATCCCTTTCTCTCGTCATGCACAAAAGTTAACTCAAAATGGATCAAAGAGCTTGATATCAAATCAGAGACTCTGCAGCTGATAGAAGAAAAAGTTGGCTCCGATCTACATATTGTGGGGTCGGGCTCCAAATTGCCATAACTTCTTTTTTTTTAAATTTTAACATTTATTTATTTTTTTTAGTTTTCGGCGGACACATCATCTTTGTTTGTATGTGGTGCTGAGGATCGAACCCGGGCCGCACGCATGCCAGACGAGTGTGCTACCGCTTGAGCCACATCCCCAGCCCCTGCCATAACTTCTTGATGGTTTGTTCCCTTTATCAATATGTAGTGAATTTCTTTGTCTCTTTTGACTAATTTTGGCTAGAAGCCCAATTATGAAAGGTCTGAGCATTGCTACTCCTGCTGGCTTTCAGATGCCTCTTGCTTGAGACGTCTTTCTCTTTCCCTTCACTTGTACTTGGTTCATATCGTCGCAGCGAGCTGATTCTTGCAGATTGTTGGGTCTGTTTTACAATCCAGTCAGCCAGTCTGCTTCATTTAATTGGAGAATTGAAATCATTTGCCTTTGGTCATTGTTGAAAAGTATGCACTAAGTCCTGTCATTCTATGGATTCTCTTCTAATTGTTTCATATAATCTACATGAGATTCATTTCTTGCTCCCTTATTCATCTTAGGGATTTTATGACTTACTAAATCAATAGTGTTTGAGTCTTTCCTCGTTCTCGTTTGCTCATCAACTCTTCTAGGGAGATTCATTCCTTCCCATGTTCTCTAGTTGTAGTTATCTTGCT